GGGGGGGGGGGGGGGGGGGTGAGAGAGAGAGAGAACAAGCTGGATCAGAAAACATAGAGGAGGGAGGGAGAAAAAGGATAACTTTATTCAACAAATATAATAAAGACGTCGACCAGAATTTTCATTTGGTTATGGACAGCAAATAAGCTAATCAAACTAGCAATTACACTCACTCTTCTATCAAGCTCCTTAAGCTGCTGTTTGTAGTAGTCGATAGAATCAACTTTCTCACCCCAAAGTCCGAGGAAGCCTTTCTGCGGAAAGAGGACATGTGACATGGTGTTAAAAGTTAAAACATTAATTAAAAAAAGGTGAAAACCATGGCAAGAGAATTTTCTCCTTTTTAAATCAGTAGCAGTACCATGAGAAAGTTCAAGAGAAAATGTCGCGTTTCCTGAGTTTTATCAGCTAAAAGAGTACCTTTTTAGTTGGCCTCTTTTCTGGATTTCTTTCAAACTTAAGCTGGTTGTAGTCCAGCCAATTTTGAAGTCTAGCCCTTTTTCTGACAAGTTTGGCAAACTTGTTGGCATTATAGACAGCCTAATAGAGATAAGACCAACAAAACCACATGAAGTAAGAAATTCCAGCTCAAGAAAAGCTAGCTATCTAGGTAAACACCTTCTCACTAGAAAAAGACCTGCTGTTAGGTGCCATGTTACCTGGTGACAAAGATAGTGGTCAGGATGGTTCTTCTTAAAGAAATTTTCAACACTATCTGTTATTGAGCGCTTAGATTCATGAGGAACATTCCTAACCAGAACCTGAAAGACAAGATATGCAAAGGTTTATTGTAGAATGGACTAAATTTATCTCAAATTCAACAAAAATAGAATCTGTAGGCACAAATTTTCTATCCATGTTTGATAAGCTTTTCAGCTCATGGATTGAGAATTTAAAGGAAACTGATCCTTGTTTACCCACCGTGAACTGTTCGGCACGCTTGTCTTGTGAAGCCAAAAATTTTAATCTCATTGCAGCTACTCTATCATATTCCTTGTACAGCATAAAACAGGTCCAAAACGTGAATAAATATTCCATTGCTATGTGGACAAAGAACCTGACTCATGTGAACACCCAATTGAAGCTCCTTATTAGCAAGAGATCCAACAGGAACACACACAGAAAAAGGAAATTCAGACGAATAAAGGATGATACAAGTAACATTTCTATATTGAAATTGTCGTTCGTTCCTCTTGACAATTATCAACTAGTAGCTCAGTTAATATTTTCGTTCATTTTTAACCTTTTAGCATGAACATGCATTTTCCTAAAAGAAAGCATGTTGTTAAGAGAACAAGTTCAATCCACATTGTATCATTGTTTCTCCGTGTCTGAGCGTAACTTTTCACCTAGCCAATCCCCTTACGGAAAAGTCTCTACTAAAATTTTCTCCTGTCTGCAGACAGTTTCTAGCAGAAAAAAGTTCTTCCATTACCAAAACATCAACATCATAGGACGCTTCTATCACCCAATCTCCAACACTAGAAAAGAAATTAAGGCAGTTGAAAACTTCCAACCATGCTCGAGACACCCAACTGCAGTCGTTGTCAATCTAGGTTTCTTTGCTATGGCCAGTTAAATACATAATTCCAGCAAAAAGATGTCCCAAAGACTATAAGCTTGTGTATGAATTCACAAGAAAGCAGTTTAACCCATAAGTCATACTGGACCACAATATCAAAATAGTAGGTTTGTTTTCATGACCTTATAAACCAAGAACTAACTAACTAATGGCAGTCAGTAGTTAACTCAACCGAATAAGTATGTTATTATATTAAGTC